GGACACTCTCCAACCGATTGTTTTCAAAAGTAATAAAATACTAAGGAAAAAGTCAATGATGCCCAAGTCAATAATTCACAAGGAGAACAAAATGTTACATTTTGTGGACACTGAATTAGACATTGATTAATTTTTATTAATCAATGTTGCAGCCTTTGTGTGTTTTGGAGCCAATATGTAAACAAGTTCAGCCCCTGGCTAATTTCACAGGCCTCAGAGGGATGGTCGTGTCCTGGGGGTGGAGGGGCCCTGTGGGCATGTTTCTGAAGCTCCCCTGGCGTAGGAGTCGTCAGACGTTCCTGTAGATGCCAGTCTGTGTGACACAGCATTGCCTTCCCCGGCTGATATCTGCACTGAACATTCATGATGTGGCTGCGTCTCCTCCAAGTCCATTCCCACATCTATCCACATGCTTAAAAGGTTTCCGTGGGGCCGAACCGGTTTGGCTCAGTGGATAGAGCGTTGGCCTGCGGACTCAAGGGTCCCGGGTTCGATTCTGGTCATGGGCATGTACCTTGGTTGCGGGCACATACCCAGTAGGGACTGTGGTCTATCCACACGCTTAAAAGGTTTCCATGGGAAACCGCTGGTAAAAGCCTAAGCTGCCAGTGGGGCTTACCTGAGAACTACACCGGGTCTATTATGCAGTATAACCGAAGAGTGTCTTCAGGGAAACTGATTGTATTAAGAGCACTAGTCTTCCAATTGCTTAGCAGTCTAAGGATGGCTGCGGTCTCCCAGGTTAAGTATGTATTTGGTGTTTCATCAATTGTGGTTCTCCGTTCGCTTCAACAATCTCGTTTGTTGCACGGAGCTTCTCATCAGAGGTGCCTGCCCTGCTTACTCTTGTGATTTGCTGAACACAGACGTTGTGAACACAGATAACACCCAAGTGGCACTCACACCGGGAACCTCCCTGTGTGTCCCTGCACAGCAGGTGTAGTCACGAGGACCCCAGACCTTGTCTAGTCACCGTCGCCTCCGAAATGTGTGTGTCAGAGGCCAAACAAATCTTCCGTAAGAAGGAGAAGGAGGATAAAGACTGAGGCAACAGCAAAGACACTTCTCTGCCTTTCCCAGCACGGACTCTGGTACTGGTACCTGACACGAACATGAGGCGGCAAGGACTGCGAATTGTCTCAATATCTGCTGCCTCTCCTTCCTCAAAAACAGAACCCCTGTCAGCCATCAGGAACTCCCCATCCTCCCCTGTAGGCAGGTATGGCCAAGTGACCGAGTTCTGGCCAATGGAAGGTAACTTCCAGGAAGTGTCCTCGAAGGGTGGAGGTGGGTCTGTCTCTTCCCCGTCTCCGAGGTCTGCTGGCTGGAATGAAGATGCAATGGCTGGCGCTGTGGCAGCCATTCTGGATGTGGGTGCATCAACAGGACAGAAAGGGGGTAGGTCTCTGACACCAAGGAGCCCCTCGGGCCCATTCCTGGACCACCTTACTCTAGTCTCAAAATGAAGGAGAATTCACTATGTCTTGTTTAAGTCACTGCTATTTCGGATTTCTGTCACTTGTGACCAAATCTAATCTTAACTGATCCAAAATAAAGGAACAAGAGAAACAAGTCTCAAGCAGCAGAACTGCAGCGTGGCGTGGGCCCAATGCGTGGGGCCACGTGTTGTGGCCAGAGGACTGGTGACCCTTCTCATGCAGACAAAGCCTTGGTAACAAGGGCTCCTGTGCTTCTGAGAGGCGCGCATGCGCTGAGCAAGGATGAGGGAGGAACTGCTTAACGTAGACACGCGTTACTGCTGCTCGCTGCTCGCAGCACAGTCCTCAGGGAGCAATGGACTCAGGCCACTGCACACAGATGGATCAGAAGTCCACGTTTTGGGAAAAAAATTGTTCTTCCAATGAAACCACTGCCTGGCCTGAGAAGGCCTGTGTGGCCCCACCCCAGAGCCATCCCTGGAACGGCCAGCCTGGGAGACGGAGTGCAACCAGCGCGGCGCCTCTGATGCCGCGTCCGCCTCGGACTTCTCTGGTCCCCCTGCTTTGCTCACGTGGGCAAGTGTGGACCGTGGTGATGAGTTTATGGGAGCAGGAGTGTTTGTAGCAGGCATGCTGCTCCCACACATCTACCCTGCGGGGGTGTAGGGTACTGGGAACTTATTATCCAGTTTACAGGTTGTTGGACCCCCAAGCAGTGCCAGGTTAGGGTGTGTCTGAGGAGACTGGTCTTGGGGACACCTTTAGGGTCCTGCCTCCCACAGGGAAACAGTAAACCCAGGGCGACAAGAAGCTCAGGCAGGTGGGAGGAGGCATTTCTCTTTGGGCTCTGCATCCGGATGGACCCTCTTTCGGGCACGTGCCTGCTCTGGGCTCTGCAAACGCTGGGTCCCGGAGAGACTTGCTGCTCCCCACGGCGCGTAGCACTAAGGGGCATCATGCTGGGTTCTGTCTACTCCGTCCACTGTGAGGAGGGCCAGCAACTCCTCTGTAGTCACCCTCATTCCATTCTCAGCCCTGCATGAGCTCAGCAGTGCCCCAAAGGGCAGTGTCACCCAGAGTCGGTGGTGGGCAAGCCGGGCACGCGGGATAGCGTGGCCCTGGCCTCCAGAGGCACAGGCTACCCCGCTGCTTGGGACTGCGGCCCTCGCCAGCGGAGGGCAGGTCTTTAAAACAGAGGTCAGGAGCCTCTCGGCCTCTGAGCAGGTTTCCGAGTGGGTGAGTGGGTCTATGGGCGTCTCCCCTCAGCACTAGGACCCTCTGGGCTGAATCACTCTCCGTGGTGGAGATCCTCCTGTGCCCTGTGGGTGCCATCTCTGGCCTCCACCCACTCGTGCCAGGGGCACCCTCCCCCAGGTGTCACACGCACAAATGTCTCCACATACAAATTGCTTGG